GCTTGTTCCTGCCTCTTCATTCTGTGGCAACTATCCTCTTTTCGTGACCTTCTTCCACCCTTATCAATTGAGTTTGGCTTATACTTTCGTCTTCTTCTTCCTGTAATTTGTTCCAGATTAGGCACCTTACCTTTTCCCTGGTGTCTCATCTCCGTCGTCCATTAGAGGAAATTCTTCAATTGACTATATGGACTGCACCGCATACACTCATTACTCACTATCTTGTCAGGTTATCATCTTCCAACCTGTTGCCATCCTTCACTCTTTGGTGAGACTGTGACTTGGTAAGTTAACTTTTGTATATATATCTCTTATTTTTCAGGGGCTTGTCCCTTTTTTCTTTAAGGATCCTATTCTGTGGTGAGTGGTGCCTATCCGGGTATAATTAAACTAGTCAAATCTGCACTATTAAGCCATGATGACTTAGCAATAATAATTTCCATGGCCGCTAAATGTACACTGTTGAGATGGGAGTGCTCCACAAGATTGCCCGTAGATTTTTCCTTGCGATATATTTGCTTCGTTAATATGCCCTTTCCAGACTGTACTAACCCATGTACTTCATGGTTAAAGTAGATGGGGATAGATGCCCATCTCTGCCATTTCTTAGATTGAATAAACCAGGAGTTGTTTGCTTTTCAAAATAGGGTTTTCGTGGTGACACGTTGCACTGTTTCCCATGTTGATGTTCCTCCAGACTGTTCACTGGATGCATTTCAAGGATATTTCTTTCTTTCCCTTGCACTGGTCCCTCCACCTATTTAATATGGGATTCTAGCTATATCTGTGAGAGGAGGTAATGTACATTTTCAGTATAGGAAAAATATAACTTTCGGCATTAATGGAGCTTTTCTTCCCATTTATTTGACCTTCTGTGTGTTCTCCATTCCTGAGCCTGATCATGATTTTGACATTTCTGTCCAGCTCTTTCCACTGCTTCATTTTGCCCTGGCTCCTTTGTTTGCTGTTGATGAATATGTCAATCTTCTCTTTCCCTCTTTGTTGATTGTGTTGTGTTTGTACTAGGTTTTTTTTGTCTGCCCTGTTTTTTATTTCATGCTTTCATTCTGTAGCTTTATTCTTTCCTCCTTCACCTGTCTTTAGTATTCACGCTGAGACCTTTTTGTCTAAGCACTGTTCCTATTCTTCCCTGCCTCATCATCCTTATTTCCACAATTCCTTTAACTTTGCTTATGGTCACTCCCTTTTTGCTATGCATCACATAAGGAAGCCATGCAGGAAATATTACAATGAAAAGCATGTACAGGAAATAGTAGCCTATCTGGATCAGACCATGAATATAGGTGGGAAGGAGGAATTACCCTCACGAGCCACCACAGTTTGGGGAAGGAAAGACTGATCTGGATCAAGGAGACGATATGTGGAACAATACAGGGTATGTGAAATATTCATGGCAAATAAATCCAAGTAACGATGTCCATGTGACAAGAGGTGAAGGAAATAAATCTTAAGGGATAAGTGAAAACTCAAATATGAGAACATAGTTTCCAATGGAGGTAAAGGAAGGCAGTGAAGAACCACATTGACATCCCTATTGGAGGAGGGTTGTCACATGATGATTTATATGAAAGACGCAGTTGAACCATGTTGATCATGGCATATGTGGGAGCTCAAGGCCTGTGGCATGCCAAAAAATGTTGCATATAATGGGCAGCACTGAACGAGAATAGCTATATCTGTGAGTGGAATTAACGTACCATATCATAAACTGGCTATAGCATCTTTCACAGACAAAGAACCTCCAGCAGCCATAAACATGGTAGATGATGCAAGGAGTTTACAACCTTACATTGCATGATTTCCAGTTCTGCAAACAATCATAGTAGAGGATGTTAACTAGTCTCATTACATATGAAATTTTGGCTTTGTGAAAAGAGCTAGAACCTTGGGAGGATGAAGCAAAAGAAACATCAGTTGGCATGGTTGAAAAACTATGTGAAAGATAACACTGACACAGCCTGTAGTGTACTACAGTTCACAATAAAACAAAGGTAAGACATGGAATCATAAATCTCCTGAAAGTTTTAAGAAATAGTCAGAAAGACAGAAGCTTTGATAATAAAGATTACCAAGTCAAACAAATCAATCACAAGGGTATTCAAAATTAAAGAACAAAATGAAACATTTCTGTTAATGGTAGTGCCAAGTTTTAATAATGAGGCTATTTTCAACTGCAAATGCTTATGGGGATTACTATGCATGGAGGATTTGTCATCCTCCTATTAGTGGAGGACTATTGCTGCATTGTGATTGCATCATGTCCTAGTATAGTTCATGTCAAAACACGATTCAGGTTGGAGATAGTACAGGGCTGGTGATGTTTACAAAATCTCAACAGTAGGCATGTAAGAAATACCTACTGTGTGCACAGATGTAAGTGGATTGTTTTAAAAATCATATTTGCCCTAACCTAGCAACAGCACACTGCTTAGAAGTTGGATGCGTAAGAGAATGATCAACCAAATCACCAAGATTCTTTTATTCCATACTACTGTTAAGGTTATTCCAATCAAAATGTAGTTAGAAACCCAATGACTGGGACACATTTTAGACTTCTTTATCCATGTTTCAAAATAGGTTGGGTTAGTGATCAACTTAATTACCACTAAATACTTGACCACATCATTATCTATTTCAAACATGATTCTTTGATGAGCTGTGGACTGCAGTTTCACCCATTCAAGGCTCATCAGCACATCTTGGGTCAGCAAACTAAAGAAGTACCATTAGGCTTCATATAATGGTGAAGTGTATATAATAATACCTATAGGGTTTTGAGTCACAAATTCTCTTTTCAATTTGGCCTCTGGTGAGAACAAAATCTTTAACATATATATATATATATATATATATATAC